ATGAATTACCAAACTAGTAATTTGTCAGTATGGAACTTAAATTATTAATATGTGTATGGAGTAGACTATATTTCATACAAATGCTCACCACTGCTGATAAAATTATTGCTGATTATCCAAGAACTTTGAAGAGCATGAGGATTTTTAAGTCATTAAAAGGGAAGCTTTTTCAGGCAGAGGCTGGATGACTTTCTGTCAGGTAAAGTTTCCTGCACTGGATGAGGGAAAAGGTGGCAGGTAATAGACTTGGTGATCTTTCCAGTCTGTTCTATTACAGAGTATATGTATTACATGATATAGCACAGCCATGAATTATAGGTATAGAATTTTCAAGAAACACAATATGGTCCTGTGTACAACTATGTTAGGTACATAAACAGCCCAGAAATTAGTATACCAAATTTAATTTTTAATTTATCTCAAATGATTTACTGAGTTCCATATTACAAAATGTTTAAAATTATATAGAAAAAAACTTATAGTCTCTAGACGCTGACATTTTAAGATATCAGGACATACAAATCGTATCATGCTAATGTGCAACAAATTTACCACTACCCATGTGAATGATGACATGGCAGTTATGTGTATAAAGTAAAATTATGAACAGGATTCAAATTACTTTCGTCTGGATTTGAAATATATGGTGAACTTTCATGAGGTTCATTTATTGATAATAAGTGCTACCCTAAGCACTTTACATCTGTTATCTATTTTACTTCACACAACAACCCTGGGATGGAGGTTCTGAGGCTTAGACAGGGGCAGCCACTTGCTGAAGGTCACTCAATAAGCAGCAGAGCCAAGACTTGAACCTGCATTGGAGACTTTCCGACTTGAGCCTGTCACGACATGGTTTCCTTTTTGCTTCCTTAGTTTCTTACTTGTGAGCAATGCTGAAATTACTTTGGTCGCTGCAGTTTATGCTGTTGAATGTGGGAGAAGGTTTTCTGAAGCCTGCTTGGCTGACCAAGGAAAACTAATTTGAGTTTTAAAATGTGAATTGAACGAAGTTGGCAGAGCTCTGAGAAATTAGTTATAAGCATACTGCTCCCATTGTAAATGGGTTCAATATTTCCAAAGGCTATCTATAACATGGAATGATAGCTATAAAACTTTTCTTGCCCTTTGACTCATAATTTCAGTCTTTGGAATATACCCTCAAGGAAATAACACAAAAGAAAAAGGTAATTTCGGGGTCCAAAGTGGCTCCGGCCGAATGTCGTGGCGCTTGTGAAGGCGAGGTCATGAGTTCAAGGCTCACACTGATTGGCAAAAAAAAAAAGAAAAAGGTAATTTCTTCAAGATGTTCATTCAGGGGCTATTTGTATTAGTGAAAAACAGGGGGGGAAATCCAAATTCTCAGTAATAGGACAAGGACTAAAAAACTAGGCTCTATACAAAAAGAAAAGAAAGTTTCATGATCTCCCACAATGACAAATGTAGAATATATTCATATGTGGATGCATATGTAAGAAACAACTGGGTTAAAAATAGAATGCAAATTAGTACATATAAGGATAACCTTGTACAACCAAGTGAAAGAGTATGTGCATTAATAATAAGGCAAGAGATTTATAAACTTATAAAGAAATATATCCCCCTTTTAATTGAAGAAACCCCAACACAGGAGGAGCAGCTGGCATATAGATTGCTTTTAATAAAAATCTGTCTTGAAATGAGGACAAACAGAGGCTATTTATTCAGATTGTGCTTTAACAAGGAAGTCAGCCTGGACCATATCTTGCACTTGGAAGACTTGAAGGGCAATGCACAACTTTTATGGTGAAAAAAAAGAGAAGAATTTAGGTATGTTCTGATTGGAGGTTGTTGGCATGGAGAAGCTAAAGGCAGCGTAACTAGAAACACGGCATTTAGGTAATGAGTTCAGGAAACACATTTGGCTTTTTTCTCAGTGGCTCTGAGCTGAAAGTTTGCAGGGATGGAGGGCATGACAGGAGCAAAAAAAAAAAAAAAAAAAAAAAAAAAAAATAGGGAAGGTGGCAATCACTGACCAAATCCTGGCTATGCTGGACTGATTGCTGCAGAGATTGGATTTAGCCTTCTAAGCTGCCTGCTGAAGAGAATGTGGGTCTATCATTGCATGGACTGTCATTGTCCATTTGTATATCCAATCTCTCATATAGAATACCAGTTTATTATAAAAGGTTGTAACTCAGAAACAGCCAGATGTAAGAGATACTCGGGGCGAGCTATAAGGGAAGGGGTGCAGAGCTTCCGATCCTTCTCTGGGTGAGCCACCCTTTCAGCACCACCATTCAGCAACCTGGAAGACTCACTTAATAAGAATGTATAGACTTAAATTAGACAAAAGTAATTTTTAAACTGAGACTTGACTGAGATACACATGATGTATTCACGTGTTGTCAGAAAAAGTTAATCACTCATGAGACCTTAGTAAGTGCTAGGTTCTTTTCCAAGTTCTTTCCCGGAGTCTCTCATTTAATCTCCCTACAGCCCTTCTGAGATAAGTGAGATAAGTGTTATTATCACCCTTCCTCTAAGAGGAGAATATTGTGGCCCAGAGAAGCTAAGTAACTTGCCCAAGGCTACTCACGCCATGGCAGAGATGTAATTTCAACCCGGACAGACTCACCACATGGCAAGTGCAGCCATTATGCCTTGGTGTCTTCCCCTGTTTGGAGGAAATATCTAGATTTTGTTCTTTTCTGTGAATCACTTCTAGATTTTGTCTTCTGCTTTTCTCCTTCACCATTTGTTTGGTTTACAATGTATAGGATTCTTTCAGGAAATAACAATAACTAGATCTGGAAGTTATTGAGATGAAATACTCTCCAGCCAGAGTCACCTGCATGAACACAATATACCTGCACTAACTGGCTGGACTTCTTATAAGAAGTGAAACTAGAGTAGGGTTTTCAAGTCAGGTGTGGGAATTGTAGAGGCTGGAAGATAAAATGCCACTGCGGTACATGGGATAACTGCAGAAGAGAAAAATATGACATTTCAAGCCAGAAAATACTCAGATAAGTATTTATCTGAGTGTTTAAGAAAAAAGTTGCTTGGGATGAGTAACAAATCAAGAACATTTTAAAACTTACAGGGAAAACATAATTATTTAAAAAACTATTTTACACTGGCCTAGTTTCTTGTATTTTACAAAGTAGTTTTCACTGATGATCTTATTTAATTCTCCTGCTATGGAGTGGTGGATAGTGTAGCTGACAGATGAGAAAACAGAGGTAAGTGTGAGCTGTGCACCCAAGCAGCTGCCTGCCATTAACTGAGCTGAGACTTAGTCCCAGACTCTCACCTTAATAGAACTAAACATTGATGCTGTTCAAGATAGGTACAAAGTTTTGTGCAGATTTTCCCTTTAAATTATTCACAGCTCATGAAGCTCTATCTCACAGGTATAAGTCCACTGAGAAAAATTCAGAAAACAAATCTAACATAAATGGAACCAAAGATAAGAACTAAATATATAATGAGTTCCTGTTAAATGAAGGCAATAGAGTAAAGACAGGACTGCCATCTGTGTATAAACTAAACTGTCCAGGGGATGGCCTGGGTATGTAGTGGTTATGTTTGGAAATACACAAAATCCAAATCCTTCTATGTAAATCTGTATAAGAGGCACATCATCTCAGGACTCTGCCATCTATGATACAAAATGCACAACATGAAATTTCTGTTTTATCTGTACATTCCATGGAAATATCTGTATTGTGAATGAGATGGCCTACATCTATATTCACTTTTAAACATCCTCTCCTTCTCATCCATTTCTGCCTGATGAAGGCCTATTTTCACTTCAGAGGACAGATTAAATATCACTTCTTCCAAGAAGCCTCTTGAGATCCAAGTGAGAACAAACCTCTTTCCTATGTTCTCCCAGTCTGTCTGAGAACATCTGGCTGATGATTCTTGCCTCCTGACTTTTGTAGTTCCTGGATGACATAACATGATTGGGATTTATCTTTGTTCCATCTATGATCCCAACACAAGTGCATCGTACCCCACAGCAGTTTACTGCATTATAAGAAATCTTTTGAGATCCTATCATACTCCATATGATAGGAGATTTGGGGCATCTGAATTCCTCTATAAAAATGACCTCAATCAAGAACTCTCTTCACTTAAAAACTTTCTAATTTCCTTACAATCATATTTCATGTCGACCTTCTGTGCCAGAACATTTGCATTAATTTAATGCATTCGTAATTAGCATCGGCAAATAACAAACCCACATTCAGAAGGTTAAATTATAAAGTGTTTTTTAATTAAATAGGAATATAAGAGTCATCAAACTTAAACAAACTAATCTGAGATTTGCTTTTAGCACAAATGTTATAAATATTCAACCCGATTTTATTTAATATAAAGATAGGAGCTTCAAAGCCAGGACTTCAGTTATTTGAGGCCTCTCTCTTTTAATATAAGCTGGTAAATAAACTACTAGTGAAAGAACTTAAAATTTTAGAGCAAAAAGTACATTACTTCCACTAAGGTCAATTACTCTTCAGGGACAAAAGTAATGTTCTTTTTATTAGCAATTTGGAATAACAAATAACATTTATTTTTATTAAGATTTTTATATAAAACTGAGAAAACAATTCTTTGTAGTTATAAAAATATAGGAGAAAGTGCTGAGTTTCTGAAACACAGCAATCTTCCTATATTTCTTATCTTCCCTTAGGCCATGTGTGGTGTTGTTGTGATCTTCAATTAAAAAGCTTACTTATAAGGAAGATAAAGACGAGGGAATAACAACAATACTACCAAGGCTTATAATGAAAAGCAAGCTACAAAAAAGATGAAGTAATTATTTTTGATTATACCACATTCTATGAAATATCGAAAAACTCCCATTTCATTTTGTATACCATGAGAAAAAGTTATTTGATCCATGAATGGGCTAATCTAACAGCTATTCACTTAATTCCTGGCTTTTAAAGGAGAAGAGCAATCAATGACTAAAAAGGAAAGTACAAGTCACAACAGGCATAAAATCTTACTTTTTCATCATCTTCAGTAAATGGAGCACCCTCAGGAATCTTATTTATCGCTTGGGCCACACCAATAATCTCACCATCGCTGCTTCGGATAGGCATGCACAGTAACGATTTTGTCTTGTATCCAGTTAGTTTGTCGATTTCATCATTGAATCGTCGATCCTGAAAAAAAGACAAAGAAAGGATTAACTGCATGTACACCGTTGTCAGGGAGAAGAAGAGAGAGGTTTATTTCTGCATATGATACCTTATCACTGGGAACTTAATCCCATGAATTTTTAATTACAATAACAGACTTGACTTCATTTTTAATTCACCAAAGGAACATAAATGAAATAAGTCAACATCATTGTTGTGTGCCATAGTAAATGAAGAGAGAGAGTTTAACCCAACTACAACATATCAAAACTGGGAAAAGTGTTTTAAGGAAAGCCTAGTATGCAATTTATGAAAACATGTTATTTCAAAAAGACATGATAAGAAATGTCATATAATAAACATACATGAGACATATATGCTAAACACTGTAAAAAATTGTTCAAAATAGAACTCCTTTATTTCTGGTCAAAATGATCCTGTGAAAAAAGAATCTATGAGTACATAATGATATTTCAAAATCCTCCCAAAAAGGTGTGGGGTATGGGGAGATGAGACTTCTCTATAGAATGCCTGCTAAAATATATAAAATAAATGGTAAAATTATACAATATATATTTTCTGACTGCCAATATAATTATGTTTACAAGCAAGGGTCATTAAGTATGCTAATACTATTGGGTGAAAAGCAATTTAACTTAAACAGGATAGTCATACAATCTCAAAGCGCCACACCCAAAGATTCCTTATAAAAGGTATCTTTGTAATAAATCTGGTGAACACTACCTCAAACAAGTAAACTTAGCATCACTGTTAAGAAGAAAAATTAACACTGTGTGCTTCCTGATATAATAATGAGAAAGACACAACATCACCAAGAATACAGAGTGCTCTAGTCAAATGTGTAACATGAATCTAATCATTCTGAAAATGAAAATTAAGAAACATAGCGATCATCAGTCATTCTTTCAGAAACCTAAACTTGGATGCTTAAAAAATGTCAAGATCATGAGAGACAAAAAAAAAGCTTTTTAATAAAAATAAAGTTAAACCATGGAAGCTATATCAGTTTAAAGAAGACTTAAGAGACCTGAAATATGTGATCCTTTACAAGAAATTCTAAAAATTCCACAAAGGATATTTTTGGAGAGACAATTGGAGAAAGTTAAGTCATATAATTATATTATTATAAACTTTCTTAGTTATGATAGTGGTGTTGTAATTATGTAGGAGAATGTACTTATTCTTAGGATATACATGTAGAGTATTTGGGGGGTGAAATAACATAATACTTTCAACTTATTTTCAAGGAAGGAAGGAAGAAAGGAAGGAATGATGGAAGGAGGGAGAGAGGGGAAGGAGGGATAAAAAGGAAAGTGGAAGGAAAAAAAGAAAAAGATTCACTCTTGAGAGGGTAACTGGGACTAAAAATGCTCCAAGGTAGATTGTAAACTGGATTCAGGCTGATGACAAACTATGTCAAGCCAGGGGTTGGTGTGAGGCTTCTTCCTATGCCTTCTGTACACCCCTGTTAAAGAAGGCTTAAAAGACAAAAACGAAGCACTGCTGCCTATGCTATGCTATGGTGTGGTTTTTATCTAAGGGCTTAGGGAAACTGGCTGTGGATAAGGTGATAGCCTCAAGATCAAACAAACACTGCAACTGGCTGCCTGCTGGCCCTCTAATTAAGTCCGTGGTATCTCCAATATCACAAAAACAGGAGTCTTTATTTATTATTAGTTTTTTGAGAGAGTCTCCCTCTGTTGCCCAGGCTGGAATGCAGTTGCTCGATCTCGGTTCACAGACACCTCCACCTCCTGGGTTCAAGCAATTCTCCTTCATATTTCTGGTGTAGGTACCTGGGTGGATGGTGGGATGATTCACTGAGTAAGGATCACAGTGAGGAACAGATTCTGGGGAATATGAGTTTCCTTGTGGACATCTCAAGGTTTAGTTGACTGTGAGTCATCCATGTGGTCAAAAAGCAGTTTGAGAGATTTAGATGTAGATGCAGACATAGACAGTTTTTTTTTAATTTTAGGAAAAAGGCTTGGTATTGAAAGTAAAAATTGTCTAAGTAAGGATGGGGATTTTGTCCAATAACTTTTAAGCACAGGATCTTCAGAAAGTCACTATGATCACCAGCAAAGCTTCACAGAAGACCTAGTAAGGAGGAAACAGGACTAGTAAGAAGGCAAAAACATGCTTATATATTTCTGAAAATGGAAACTTGAATAGGAAACTAACAAATGCCTCAAGGATTATAATAAAATATCACATGGAGAATGGTGCCCAATCTTTATTCATCTCCCTTAGGACAAAAGAACAAGAAATGATCTAAAACAGAAGAGAATTCTAATAAATTAGGGTAAAGTAAGGTTGTTAAAATCTGGAATGAGCTTGTTATGGCTGTAGTAGACTCTTACTGCTTTGAGTATTTTTATGTCATAATATTTTTTTTATCTCAGATATTTTAAGTATAACTGATCTTGAGAAGTGCAGAAATCTTCTCTGTGCCTTTTATGCAGACCTGTCTTTTGTATATGACATGAATCTATGATTTTTAACCTTTAAAAAGACAAAGTCATAAGGCCAAAAGCAATTTTTACCTCAGAGAGGGAATTGATCTGTGCCCCCTTCATAGAGAACAGTAACTGGATACATCTCTGACCCAGAATCTTGCACTTGCAACCCCATCTGCAAGTTTCTGAGCTGAATGTGGTGCCATGAAGCACACCCAGAAAATGGATTCCCACCTTCAAGACCCACAAAGGCTGTAAAAAGCAACCTCTGTAGTCAGCTTTCAAGTCTTTGAGAAAGAGTTATACTTACCATGCTTAATAATCCCAGCCGGCCCCCAAAAGACATACTTTAGAGGTACAAAAGAAGACTTGAACAAAAAGAAATCCATCTTCTCTTTTATGTTTTCAGAGAAACCATTCAAGCCTCCCGATAGGGCAAGATTCAGAGTTGAGAATCTTATCCAGGTCCCAGACTCATGGCAAAGATGGGTGGCCTAAGATCTCTTTTATTTCCTCTGTATTTAAGGACTCTGTCCCCAATACTTCATAGTAAAATCTACCAGGACTCATAGTTAAGCCAAGAGCTAGTCTTGACCACCATTTAATCTACAAGGGTGATTTTTAAAAATCAGAATCTTGATCTACCTTAGGTCCTTCATAGCCAAGAAGCTCAAACTGTTCAAGTCTAGGAGTGTCCACATGATGTAATTGTTTCCAAAACATACAGATGAGGAAATATGTAATGACAAAAGCCCCTATTAATTCCATAACACTTTCAAATGACCTTGTCTTTGAGTTTTAAAATATAACTCAAAAAATATAAAGTTATCATTGTAAATTATTGAGAAGATTATAGAGAAAAATTAAAAAGAAATTAGAGAGAAAAGGTGATATAAGATATGCATGTATATAATACCTGTATTATACACATAAACCTTTTTCAACATCGCATTAGCCCATTCCCCCTTAAAAAGATTCAAAGGTCAGTGTCATATTTCATCTACATCCTCTTTCAAATGCCTTATGGAGTTGTAATGTAGAGAAGCTAATGGAAATATAAAATATAAAATGAATAATCCATTGAAACTCAAACCAATAGATTGCCAAATTTTCCAAAGCTCAAAAAATTGCTTTTATTGGTACATCATTAGTACCAATTAAATGAGTAATACTCATGATGTACCAATAAAAGTAATACTCATTTAATTCCAGTTCATAAAATCATCTCCTTACACTTATGACTTATCATTAGACATCACTTATTTTCCAGAAAATGATTGGAAGCAAAGCTTTTGAAAACTGATTCGTCTTTAATGACTCAAAATGTATTATTCTGCCCGTCTTCGTAGAAAAAATAACTAATTGTTCTGAATTGATGGCAGGCTTAAGATTACATTGCATAAAAACAAAGATGTAGCATGTGGCAACTACATAGCTCATGCTTTAGGCCTCCTAATATGATTTTTGCTGAGAAAAAGTGCAAAATTTTTATTGTTGTTCTTAATATGCATTTGCAAAATTTCATTGCTATACAGAAAACAGAAGGAATCTCCAAATTATTTCCCATATTGAGTTCTAAATAGTAAAAAAGAATACCAATAATTGTTTCTGAAGCTTCACTCTTTTATGGACATGGAAGTAGAGTATTTTGTACATTCACAAAGGTAAGCTCCCTCTGCTAAATGTTTAATGAGTATACCTTTATTTAAGTCTTCCAAATAGAATTAGTGGTTGAGAGACACCATAAAATAGTTTGACATGAAGTTTCAAAACAGTCATTGTGATTACCATGTTGTTTGGGGCATTGTCCCTTTTTTTAGTAATGTTGCTAAAGTAAACTTTGTTTGCTGATCTTATTTCCCTCAGTTCTTCTTTTCTCAGTTGGCACTTTTCTTTGGTTCTGTCTTATCATCATAAATATTATTATTTCTCTTTACAATAAATACAAATACAAATCTCAAGGCAAAATATGCAGGAAAATGAAGAACCACACCACAGTTGAAACCAAAGTGAGGTAGTATAAAAAAGAAAATGATTAATTCTTAAACTGCTTTCATAGACAGCACAGATATATCTATTACAGATACACTGCAAGTCTGCAAATACATTGTACCTGGAGTTAAAGTGCAACTCCATGCCCTATAAGTTTCATTGTGTATAATGACTATGTCTGAGAAAAGGCCAGTACCCGAAGAAAGAGCTCTGGGAAGGGTCAGAAAACAAGAAGGCACCTTTTTTCCTGGCACAGTGAGACCATCTAAGAACTGCAATGAATCAGGGAAATGAGGCTCTAAGATGAAACCAGGAAGGCCAGGCAGTCTGCAAATAAGGGCAAGGGAATGATCAGCACGAAGCTGTGATTCAGATGCCAGACAAACAGTCAGAAAGCAGAGAATGCCGGGCATGCCAAGGTCAAGACAGTGATACATGAAAAACCAGGTCCAGGTCAGGAGAACAGATGTAACAGTGAATCACTGGCTCATTCATTGACTAGAACATATCATGAACCAGCTCCAACAGAGAGCTTTGGAGTTCTCACTGAGG